ATTAGCCCACTTTCTTTAGATATCTGACTTTACATCCAAATGTTGTTGTTTTTTTACCCTTATGTTCTCCTAAATCTGTTTGTTTATTTTGCATCTGTTTCTTGAATAAAACAAAATTTATGTGGGTAATATTTGTTTTTCCCCAATTTCAAAGAAACACTGTGTTTTTGCTTTACATAGGCTATTTTGACAGACAATATTGTGTGGAAACAGGTTTGGCTTATATACCTATTTAATTACAAAGAAAGTTAAGGAGGTAGCTACCATTCAAAATTAAACATAGAATTGAAAAATTACTTTGTAAAATTTAAAGATGATATTGTTTTTTTTTTTTTTTTTTTTTTAATGCAGTGTTTGTGACAGTTGCCCTGAAACTGTGGTTCATTTATTCTGGCACTGCATGTGTAAGACCGCTTCGGCAAAATGTTTGTGATATCACAAAGAACAATAATAGCCTGTTTGTGTTGTTTTGGAAACCTTTATTATTTGGTCTTTTGGAGAATTAAGCACAGTCATATTTATATAATAAATTGTATTCTAAATGGCAAAATTCCATGTTCACAAGTGTTCTTGTGAAAAATTAACAACCCTTACATTGTTCAAGAAAGAAATTGAACTTTATATTGACGATTTTTGAAGGAAGCACAAAGCAGAAAACTTAGAAAATGTGCAAATACTGTTTTCTTATTTGTAAATATTTTTAAAAATCTTTATTATGTGTAAATCTATTAGCCCCAGTGTACTATCAGTTACATTTATGTTGTACGTTCTTGTACACTCTAATGCTTGTAACACACTTTTTGTGCTGTTGTTAATAATAATAATAATAATAAATTGTTTCTGTGAAGTTAGTTTAAAAAATAAGGGCACATATTTGTGCACATTCAAAAAATAAGGAATTCTTTATTTTTAAAATAACTTCACAGGAAAATAAATCTTTTTATTTATTTTTTTATTTTAGATAGTTAAAATTGTATTTTGGAGAGTCACAATTGACCAGTCTTATTGTCCGTGAGGCATAAAGTTATAAAACGGCATGCTACTATTTCATGTAATAAACTGGGATGACAAAGCTTTTTTATTTTATTTTTTTATCTCAAGGTTCACTTTATTGTCATTCATTTGATCAGCAGAGCTTATCTAAAAAGATTTATTTACTCTGCTGAGTGTTAGTGATGTCAGCATTTCTTAGACATGTCAGTTTGCAAACTCATGAGCCCTTTGTCCCAATACAGCACCACCACCCACAAGTTACACAACACTGGAGCGTTGACCTTTCGCCGGCCCCTCCCCCAAAACAATCATAGTCCAATCACACATCATGGCAACTGTTACTATGTGAGCATGTCTGTCAAACACTGACTTGCATCACAAGTAAGATGGTGAAGCGCAGGGACACTACCCGAGAGATTGTCTGGAGGAGTTGTGTTCTTTCCGTTTCCAAAACCGAAAACACAACGTGAGCGGAGCCTACAATGGAGTAAACAGTGTGGACGGCCCCACTCCCAGTTACATGTGTTACAGGGACGGTTCATTTTGAAATTAATTTTTGGGATGTTTTAGCTTACCTCAAGGGCATCCAAGATGTGTCTTTGTTTCCGAAGTAGTTTAAATTTCTATATTTTTAGGTCAAACCATTCTTTTCTGTCAGTCATAATGCAGATCTATGGTCTAAACAAAGATCATAGAAGATCTAAACATATTTAGACGATTTCAATATATCAACAGACGAAGCGCCCACGCACTCTCAGATCACTTGGACGTGGCTGTTGTTACAAGAGGTAAAAACGATATAAATACTGTTAGTTTTCTCACACAAACCGCTCGTTTCTTGTCTTAGGCCATCAATGTGTACTTACATTTACGAGTCATTAAATCATGTTTAATTTGGACTTCTCTGTGCATGCTCTTTGACCATAGACCTCCATTATGTGACTGACAGACAAGAACGCTTTGACCCAAAAAATATCAAAATTGAAACTACTGCGGAAACAAACCCACCTACATCGTGGATGCCCTTGAGGTAAGATAAAACATATCAAAAATTAATTTCAAAGTGAACTATCGCTTTAACTCGCGTGCAGCGTGCGTGAGACTGAGAGATTAGTAACATGGAGAAAGCAGATGAACAGGATCCACAAAGGAATTACGTTTTCTAAAGTGTTGTTGTTAACATGATATTCTCGTGGGAAATGAGCGGCGCCTGTAGACTACAGTTTAGAGGAGTGCACGCTCCCAACGGGGAAAAAGTGAAGCTTGACAACATCAGTACCATTACAGTTTCCATTAAAACCAATACATTTTACTTTATAGCCATTAAAACCATTATGATTTCTGTAATGGTTTCTATTGGGTTTTTTTTTTCAGCAGGGCATAGTATCGGTTGCTATGATGTGTGGACAATTGCCGTTTTGGGGGAAGAGCCGGCGAAAGGTTATAGTAGTAGACCACACCCATTTGCAGCTGGCTCCATCCTCCGTATTCCCATCTCCATAAAACAGCCAGCAGCACAGTGCACTGCACACACACACAGCAGAAAAGCGTTTTGGACTGAACTGTCGCTTTATTTTGTGAAAATGTCTGAGAAAGTTGTGTTGCATTACTTCGATGGAAGAGGGAAAATGGAGTCGATCCGATGGCTCTTGGCCGTGGCTGGAGTCGAGGTTTGTTGCTTTGGAAAACTTCTCCACCTTTGCAAAGAAATGCAGTTGCAAAAAGTGTACATCGATTAACACTTTGCATATATGTAACTTTTTCCTACGGCTGTGCACTATATATTTTGTTTGCATATGACGATCACAATGATTTAGAAATGGAATGTGCATTGAAATGTGATCTTAAGATCAATGCGTTCTCGTGTTCACAGTTTGAGGAAGTGTTTTTGACCAAGAGGGAGCATTATGAAAAACTGGTGAATGGTAAGTTCAGTAAATTTCTCATCTATCATTTCTTGTTGTTCTATGAATATATTATTGCATTATACTGTATTTTATATTATCATTAAAGGAGTAGTTCACTTTTTAAAAAAATTAAAATTTTGCTGATAATTTACTCACCCCCATATCATCCAAGATGTCCATCCATGTCTTTCTTTTTCAGTCGAAAAGAAATTAAAGTTTTTAATAAAAACATTCCAGGATTTTTCTCCATATAATGGACTTTATTGGGAACCACACTGTTCAAGGTTCAAATGAGAGTTTGAGTGCAAACTGTTCAAAGGGCTTTAAACGACACCAGACGATGAATATGGGTCTTATCAAGCGAAACGATCGCTCATTCAATAAATACATAACAAAGTTTAAGTTTTATAAGCTCAAATGCTCGCCTTGCTCTGTACTGTGTGACTCTCCTGTTCAAACTCGTTTATCAAAATGAACAAATCTCAATTCATTCGTTTCTGATTCATTCGACTCAGAAAAAGATTTGTTCATTTTGATGAACGAGTTCGAACAGGAGAGTCACGAACGCGCATCACAGAACAGAGCAAGGCGAGAATTTGAGATTTTGAAACTTAAACTTTGTTATTTATTTATTAAATGAGTGATCGTTTCGCTTGATAAGACCCTTATTCATCGTCTGGTGTCGTTTAAAGCCCTTTGAAGCTGCACTGAAACTCTCATTTGGACCTTGAACTGCTTGGTTCCCAGTGAAGTGCATTATATGGAGAAAAATGCTGAAATGTTTTCATCAAAAACCTTAATTTCTTTTCGACTGAAGAAAGAAAGACATGGATCTCTTCGAGGACATGGGGGTGAGTAAATTATCAGCAAAAGTTTTTTTTTAAATTGAACCACTCCTTTAATGTGATTGCTTTGTTGGTTGTAGAGGGAGCCCTGATGTTTCAGCAGGTTCCAATGGTTGAGATAGATGGGATGAAGCTTGTGCAGTCGAGGGCTATCCTGAATTACATCGCTGGAAAATACAACCTCTACGGGAAAGACCTTAAAGAACGTGCTTTGTAAATATCAACTTTTGATTGAAATTGTTTCTTAATTGTTATGAAACTAGATTCCAGTAATCAGTTCATTTAACCCTCATCCTTCCCTTGCACTTAACATATCTTTCCTTCACGGGTCAAAATGACCCGAAGCCCTAAAAGTAGCTATACTTCTTTTTTTTCTTCTTTTTTTTGTCTAGAAAGCCTATTTTATTATCATTATTTGTTATTTTATTTATCTTTAAATCACTAAATTTGATCAATTAATAATAAATAAATTGTAATTTAATCACATTCCTCACATTCTTTCGACTTAAATTCATAATATCTCACAATTTCATGCATAAATGCTGATTTATATTTCTGCGTTGTTGTCCGTGTTGACGTTCAATTACACATGTAGAGGGAGGGGTTCTAGCGGACCAATCACAGCGCTTGCGTCTACGTAGAATTAATACGTTGTTACATTTTTGGAGAGGTGCACGACAGGTACGCCGAATGGTACGCCTCTACACAGCCTACGACAGCTAGGGTGTGATTTATAGTGTGATAAATTGGGCTTAACCCTTTTAATTCAGCTCAAAATATCTTACATTGTGTGTCTTTGATGACCTCTTGTAAAAAAAATAATAATAATATACCATGATATTTCATGACTCTAGATCAAGAGTGCCGTACAAGCCCTGAAAAGTGAAGCCAAAGCGCCTCGATCAGTGCTGACCAATGAAAGAGAGGAAAGGGGCGTCGCGTCGTCCATCGTTTTTTACAGTCCATGCTCTAGAGGGCCTTATAGCTCCATATGGAGCAGATGAGCTGTTCCGCTAGGTCCTAAACTCAGTAAACTTCAATATGCATTCAGATACACATATTAGAAAAATTATTAGAAAAAAAAAGTTTTTCTATGTGTACTGAAGTATTTCTCACATTCCATTCAATGGGTGGTCAAACTGACTTGCCAGGGAAGGATTTGTTACTTTTTTAAATTAAATACAAAACTCCTTGAATTCATAAAATAAGTTGTTTGTGTGTGTTTGTGGATACAAAAGTTCACTTTATTTAAAAAAAAAGTTTTGGGAAAAAAAAATGACCCTTGTTTTTCCACCACACCTAAGCTATTATCACTGTATTTTTGTCCTTTAGGATTGACATGTATGCAGAGGGCATTGGTGATCTAACGGATCTTATCTCGATGTATTTTTTCTCACCACCTGAAAACAAGCAGAAAAGTCTCAGTAATATCGAGGAAAAGGCAAAAGAGCGCTTCCTCCCTGTGTTTGAAAAGGTACTGATCGCTCTGACTATTCATTGCCCACATTTTGAAGCATTTATTATCCACGTAATCATGCTGTTTCTGATGACTTTTTTAGGGTCTTGCGAACTCTCATTTCCTGGTGGGAAACCAGTTGACCCGTGCAGACGTTCATCTTCTGGAAGCCTCTCTGATGCTGCAGGAGTTATTCCCTACAATACTATCAACCTTTCCCAAAGTCCAGGTAATCTGTTCCACGCTTTCCACACAACCAATCAACTCCAAAATTGGACTTAACTTGCTTAACAAAAACTTTTCTGGTCACACTTTATTAGGGGTGTAACGGTACACTCGTTCGATACGGGTTACCTACAGGAAAAAGCAACAAATCTCCAGTACTAGGTTTCTTTTCATTTAATTATCAGACAGTATCAGACATTCAATGCCGGTTCGCCGCTTCAGGGCACCGAGGTGTCTGCACATCTCAACGATTCTCCGAGTAGGGTTGTATAACGGTCAGTTCGGTTCTTCACTGCCGGTTCGCCGCTTCAGGGCACCGAGGTATCTGCACATCTCAACGATTCTCCGAGTAGGGTCGTAGAACGGTCAGTTCGGTTCTTCCCTGCCGGTTCGCTGCTTCAGGGCACTGAGGTATCTCCACTTCTCAACGATCCTCCAAGTAGGTTCGTAGAACGGTCAGTTCGGTTCTTCACTGCCGGTTCGCCGCTTCAGGGCACCGAGGTGTCTGCACATCTCAACGATTTTCCGAGTAGGGTCGTACAATGGTCAGTTCGGTTCTTCCCTGCCGGTTCGCCGCTTCAGGGCACCAAAGTGGGCGTTCGGCCAAATCCAGAGGCCAGTCTCGAAAGACTGGTCCCCCTAGTAGAATTTTTGGCGGAGTGGAAACTACTGCCAAATATATCTCATTGGGTCCTGCATAAAATAGAAAAGGGTTATAGAATTCAGTTTGGTTCATACGGTGATGCCTATGTGCCTTAGTCATGTGGAAAAAACCTTGGTTCCTCGCCCAAGGCCCAGAGCTGGGGGCTTCTTGTCGGGGGTGGGGGATCATGAGTGGTCATTCGGCGAAAGGTCTTTGGCAGGACCATCTACTTTCTTGGCACATAAATCGACTAGACATTATGGCAGAGTTTCGAACTCTCAAGCACTTCCTTTCAGACCTGAGATGTCACCATGTGCTTGTCTGCACGGACCACACATCGGTGGTCTCTTATATCAATCATCAGGGGGGTCTGAGGTCACATCAAACTGGCTCATCGGATCCTTCTATTGGCCCAGGAGAATTGTTAGTAGCCCTGTACTGGCCGGCCCGAGTTTGGTTCTGGGAGCAGGTGTTCCTTCTAGACGGCTCTCTGATGGAGATTGCGATCAGGAGGGACCTGCTGTCCCAAGCAGGGGGCACGATTTATCACCCTCGACTTGCAGAGTTGTGGAAACTGTGGGCTTGGCTCCTTCGTGGCACCCTAAGGCTGAGGCCTGCACTGCGCAATAGAGCACCGGATTGGGATTTGGCTGTTGTACTGAAGGGCCTGGCTTTGGCTCCCTTCAAGCCCATTGAAGAGATTTCAGAAAAGTTCCCTTGTTTCTCATTGTTATTTCTTCTATTAAGAGAGTTGGAGATTTGCAAGCCTTGTTGATTGCTCCTTCATGCCTGGAATTTGCAACTGGTATGGGGAAAGGCCGGGTTATATTCCTAAGGTCCTTACTAATGTTTCGCGTCCAATGATGCTGCAGCTTTTATTACACCAGATCAGGAAAAACTTAATCTGCTGTGTGCCCTGTTCGGGCTTTCGATTCTTATGTACACAGAGCTGCCTTGTGGCGTATTTCGAATCTGTTTCGGGTCACCAAGAAAAGGTTAATGAGGTTCCAAGCAGACAATGAGCAAGTGGGTAGTCGAGGCCATCTCACTTGCTTGTGAAGCGGCTGGTCAACCTTCACCTTTGTCTGTCCTGGCCCACTTTACTGGGAATATGGTTGCCTCTAAGGCTTTATTATCAGGGGGGTTCCCTTCTTGACATCTGTGATTTGGCAGGCTGGTCCTTACCGTATACTTTTGTTCAATTTTATGATCTGGATCTTGGCTCTATTCCAGGGTCTAGGGTGCTTGCTTCTTAGTGTGTGCAATAACTTCACACAGAACAGGCATTTGCTGTAATGGCGTTGTGGGGATGGTGTTTACACCGCGTCTCAACGCAGCTTGAGTTCCCCTGGAAGGGAATGTCTCAGGTTACGACTGTGACACTAGTTCCCTGCGTCGTCCTGCCATATTCCCTGCATGCCTGTTATCGACTTGCTTTGGCCTATCAGAAGCTGACACGGTCTGTTTTCAGGTGTGCTTTATAGTTTCCTGGTAGATGACGTTACCTGCCTATGATGTCTCGTCTTTCCATTGGACTGATTATACAGGCGCTACACAACGCAATCGAACCGCTTCTCGACGCAGCGTCTCGTTCCCGCTCAGGGTACCAGGGTTACAAACGTAACCTGAGACTTTTTCTTTCTGTGAAGTTAGTGGAGCGTGTCACATAAATGAATCGAAACTCAGCTACTAGCAGGCGCTTGCGTGCCATCTGTACGCTTGTGTTGTGTTGGTTCAGAGATCGTCTCTTGCTCTTTTTCCTGTTGTGTCGTGAAGGTTTGTGTACCCGTTACACCTTTAAACTTTATATTAGGTGTCAAAGTGCAAATTGTTTATTAAAAGGTTAGTACATAGCAGTACATTTAAAGAGGGACCCCATGTTTTAGTTGGATATTACAATTTATTGCAAAATGCACTTTTTGTGAACGTGTGTGTCTTTAAAAATTGGCATTTGAACAAACAATCAGAATAAAGTGATTTTAAGTTTCATTAAACATCTTAAATTTTTACAGAGCCGATCCTCCCTATACGCACACTACGCTAGTTGCGTAGGGCCCCGCAAATTACTCAAGGCCTCCCCCTTGTGTCAAAGCACGTCAATCAAAGTTTACAACATCGATAACCTAAGATAATTAGATAATTAAATAATTAAGCGGAACTATCCTTTTGGACACGAAAAGAGAGACAAACACCATGTGAGTGAATTGCGGGAACGGGTATTAATATAAAATATATCTCTGATATCAGGAATTATATTTTCATTAGTTCTTCTAACTAAACGAGGGAAGCCTGTAACTGGGGTGTCAGGTGTGACTGTGTGGCAATGGCAAATGGTTTACATGGCTCGTGGGTCAGGCACGACGGCCCCTTATTTTTGCTTAGGGCCCCAGGGAGGTCAAGATCGGCTCTGAATTTATATTTAATACAAATGAAAAACACAGTACTGATTGTTGAATATACATTAGGGATTAAGAGAGTAGTCTGTTCCCAGTTTAGTGAAGCTGTTAGTTGACTGACCAATTCTCACATTACTGAATCAAGCTGATCAGCCTATTATTTTTAATTCTTTTTCTAGCATTATGAATATACATTGTATATCATTTTACATTTATTTTGCAGGCATTTCAGGAAAGAATGAAGGCTTTACCCAAAATCAGCAAATTCCTGCAGCCGGGCAGTGCGAGAAAGCCTCCGCCCGACGAGGCGTTGATAAAAGTTGCAAAGGAGGTGTTGAGCCACGCCTTTAAGTAGAACACCGAACAGTTCTTCAAAACATTTACATGATGTTAATCACAACTAATTTACAAGCTTCTTTATTTTATTTTGTTTTAAAAATGTTGTATTAATTGTTTTGTATGTTTTGAGTCATCTATGCAGCACTTTAGTAACTTTGTGTATGTAAAATGCGCTATAGAAATAAAGTGGATTGGATTAAATTAAAAATGAGATGCTAAAATTGACAGATTTATTTGGAATGTACAAAATACGGTTTGGATAAAGTGATAGTATTGTGAAATGAGCATTATATTGTCAGGAAGTGTGTGTGTCTGTTCATGAGCTAGAAGATCAAAATTCAGAAATCCATCAGGTGGAAATGAGAACACAGACCATCAGAATAAACTCTCAGATAGATCCTCATCATGCCACGTCTGCACTTGTCAATATGATTTAGAAGTATAGTCATGGTCAGAATGATTGACACCCTTAGTAATTATGAACAAATAAGCCTGTCACAATAAATCTGCATGGTTAATTCTTTTGATATTTTATTTTTAAAAATCACAAAAATCTAACCTTTGAAGTTAAATAATTGAAAATTGCTGCTATGAAATAAATGTTTTTTTCAATAAACTTTGCCCACAATGAATGGTTCCCTTTTTTTATACTCTAAATCTTCTCCTATATTGCCAGATGAGTTTGGAGAACACCTGACAAGAGATCAGAGATCATATGGGTTCAGGTCAGGGGACTGGGACGACCATGGCAGAACCTTCATTTTGGGCTCACCGACCCATTTTTGTGTTGATTTTGATGTTTATTTTGGATCAATGTTCTGATGGAAAATCCACCCACGGCCCAATATAAGATTAAGCTCCCCCTGCATATCACTCAATTAACAGTTAAAGGGTTTGTTGATTCAACAAGGTGCTGAAAGCATTCTTTAGAAATGTTGGCCCATATTGATAGGATAGCATCTTGCAGTTAATGGAGATTTGTGGGATGAACATCCAGGGCATGAAGCTCCCGTTCAACCACATCCCAAAGATGCTCTATTGGGTTGAGATCTGGTGACTGTGGCGGCCATTTTACTACAGTCAACTCATTGACATGCTCAAGAAACCAATTTGAAATGATTCCAGCTTTGTGACATGGTGCATTATCCTGCTGGAAGAAGCCATCAGAGGATGGGGACATGGTGGCCATAAAGGGATGGACATGGTCAGAAACAATGCTCAGGTAGTGCCGTGGCATTTAAAAGATGCCCAATTGGCACTAAGGGGCCTAAAGTGTGCCAAGAAAACATCCCCCACACCATTACACCACCACCACCAGCCTGCACAGTGGGAACAAGGCATGATGGATCCATGATCTCATTCTGTTTACGCCAAATTCTGACTCTACCATCTGAATGTTCAACAGAAATCGAGACTCATCAGACCAGGCGACATTTTTCCAGTCTTCAACTGTCCAATTTTGGTGAGCTCTTGCTTTTTCCTATTTGTAGTGGAGATGAGTGGTACCCGGTGGGGTCTTCTGCTGTTGTAGCCCATCCGCCTCAAGGTTGTGTGTGTTGTGTCTTCTTCACAAATGCTTTGCTGAATACCTCGGTTGTAACGAGTGGTTATTTCAGTCAAAGTTGCTCTTCTATCAGCTTGAATCAGTCGGCCCATTCTCCTCTGACCTCTCGCATCAACAAGGCATTTTCGCCCACAGAACTGCCGCATACTGGATGTTTTTCCCTTCTCACACCATTCTTTGTAAACCCTAGAAATGGTTGTGTGTGAAAATCCCAGTAACTGAGCAGGGGTGCGTTTTCCGAAAGCATCGTTAGCCAACTATGGTCGCAAGTTGGTCGCAATTTCCATTGAACTCTTTTTTTTTTTTTATTATTATTTTTTTTTTTAATTGAACTCTATTGGTAACGACGGAACTTGCGACTATAGTTGGCTAACGATGCTTTCGGGAAACGCACCCCAGATTGTGAAATACTCAGACCGGCCCGGACTTGAAGTTCAGACCTCGGTCTTCCTGAATCAGAGTGAGGGCCATAACTTTTCAGCACACTTTGGAAAGCCTCTTCTGGAAATACTTGCCTCATGTCATCAAATTTCCCTGAATTGTCTAATTCTAAGAAGAGCATACTTTACAAATTTGAAAAATGTCTATGAATCTGCTCCAAGATGGGATTGCTATCAAGGATTGCCAATGTAAAGATTTGTGTTGAGCTCTTGGGGATCCTGGAATTGGGTCAGACAGCGCTTTCTCATGGGCTCATCTCGTGGGTCTGATGTGAGGTCTGCTAAACAGCTTGGAAAGCCCCCTCTGACCTCTTCTCTTTGACAAATGCAAGAAGAGACTCAATTCATTTCCTACAGTAAAGAACATCCATCGCCCTCTGCTGGACAATATCAAAGACCACATCAGTCTCAGAGAAGATTTGTTCATAATGTGTACAACATGAACACACACTCAAAATCCTCCAGTTTCCTCACAAAGCTTTTGGCACAATCCTGTGTGTCATCATGCATTGTCGTATCCGCACTGATGTTATCAAATGTCTGCAGGAGGCCATCATAATTGTTAATTGCCACAGTGCTCAATATCTGTGTTGTGAAATCCCATCGAGTAGGAGAGTTTCACCTTGGCTTGAACAGCCTGCAGACTCAAGACGTCCTCTTTCTGGATTTTGAAAAAAAAATGTTGCAAACCTTTTAGCCCCCTGTGACAGCCAGATCCAGTCTCCAGTGCTCCTTTATACATCAATTATAAATAGATTTAGATTCTGCTTGTTAAAAAAAATCATGTCCAGCTCCAAAATATTTTACTTTAAAAATAAGCTATATGTTTGGCCTTGAGTAATATATAAATTTTCACTGTACGGGGTAAATTATACATAGTATAATTACAAAATAAAATTGACGTGTGTTTACATATTAAATAAGGAATATATTTTCTTTGATAGCCATACTGTCGAGTTAATTTTCACCACAGGTTTTATTTATTATTATTATCACCATTAATATTATTATTAATTATGATTGTTAGTAGTATTATTGTTCAAATATAAAAAATAACACGCGTTCACATGGACGTTGGATGACTTTTATTTTGGCGACGTGTCTTCGTGTGACGTCATGACGCTCATTTCCTATCTGCTCCGCTCATGGCTCTGCTCATGGCTCTGCTCAGTTTAGGAAATGTTATGCTAATGTTTTGCTAATTTTGAGACGAGCCAGCATTGGAAGCGGTAACGTAATAATTTTGTATTTACAGTGAATTGTTTGTAAGTATTATCGCTGCAGAACTTATTGTTTGGTGAGACTTTCTCCCATTCTCCTGTCGACGAGTAACGATAGTTGAGATTCACCCAAGCTGTTTGCAGGATTTATAACTCGTTTTCCAATACTAAATACACTTTTAATCACGTCAGTGCTAGTTACAATATCAAGACGTACGCAATAATGTTTGCATGCAGCATTGAAAATGCATTTATATCGCTGTGTTTTGATTCGCAGTGATTGATGTAATGCTCCACCGAGCACAGATGTCTGCCTCTACAGTCATTGAAGATGTGGAGGATGATGTCGAGTTTGTGTCTGTAAGTGTCACTGCCTTGATTTCTAATTTGAGTTATTAGGACAGTTGTGTGGATCTGGGTCTTCTTCTCACTTCAGTGTGTATGTAAAGCTGATTTGAGCATTTTGTTTCAGGAGGGCCCTCTCAGACCAGTGCTGGAGTGCATAGATCTGCTGAGTGATGGAGAGGATGAAGGAGGCGTTTCAGCTGCAGACACGGTGAGTTTCTTCATACGCCGTCTAGAATATAAAACTTAAAGGTTTATGAAAGTTGTTCATCATTTAAACACCACCATGTTGTTCCACAACACAAAAACACATTTGGCAGAATGTCCAGGCTGCTCTTTTCCATTATGTTTCATACAGCTGGTCTTCTGAAGCCATACGATAGCTTTGTGTGAGGAACAGGTTGAGATTTAAGTCATTATTTTTTGATTTGTATTGTAGTGCTTTTGTATCTTAAAGACCCACTGAAGTGTCTTGAAACACAGCATTATTCAATGTGCTGATGTAATGTCCACTAAAACAGGAAGAATGGCCGGGGCATATTGAACAGCTCTCAAGGCAGACGTTGCTAATTTGGAACAGTTAAAAATTAACTACCTTATTGCTCCAGATACATATTTTATGAGGTTTTTTTTACTCAGAAGTACCACTGCAGGACTTTGTTGTCCATTAGCAACAAACAGTTTCCCACTTGCTCACCTGATGTCAGTGTAGTCTCACTTCCAACATGTCTGTTTCCATGGGTGATTTTTCCGGATTAATCCAGAATTCCGGATTTTGCGACATGAAAATGTGACGTACGCAAATCATGCAGATCTGTAAAAAAAAAAAAAAAAAAAAAAAAGCTGCCGGAGTGAAAAGGGGAGGATATGATGACATCTGGTTCAAGTTCACGTGAACCTTTCCCTCCGCTGCGGTCGTCAGTCATTCTCCGTTCAGCGTTCAAACAGCGCGTCGCGTTCGGTTACGGCATTCAACAACGATGAAACTCTCTTTAAGATGATTCAATGTTAATATCTGATCTGTAGATAAAGCTCTATGGTTTCTTGCTGGACTGTACTGCTGTAACGTTACCATAATCATGTTCTTTTCTACCGTGTGTCAGTCAAAGCCTTGTTCACACTACATGATTTTAAAACGTTGGGCTGAGCTGTGCGGTTCACACTACATGACTTGCTCTCTGTGAAATCAGGAGCGTTCAAGTTCTTGAGCTGTTCACACCACACGACACAACGTGATTGATCCACACTACACAAGTTGACAACAACCCAACAACTCCGTCACCCAACGATTCTATCTTGTCTACAAACTAGGGCTGTCGCGGTAACCGCAATATTGTAGTACCGCGCTTCTGACAAGTCAACCGCAGAGGATAGCACGTAACCACAGCAATCGCGATATTCACGTTTTTTTTTTTATAAGGCTATACGCTTCTTGTTTTGAACTTAATGCATGTGTATTGAATGTTAAACAAGTTCATAATGATAACAAGACTGTTTATCGTAGTGATGTGTAGCCTACAGGTTTCACACAGACAGTGAATGAGAGAGACCGGCAGAGCGCGTGCAATTACCTGCGTCTGTCTTTGAAGTCGTGAAAAGCTTGTCGTGTCAAAGGGAAGCGAAATATTTGTCGCATCATCATTTTAACGTTCTCTTCACGGGTATTTTCCCATAAATGCGCGTCTGCAGCAGCGCTGGTCAACATCCCACAGCACAAGGAAGCCGCGGGGAAATAAAATCAGTGAGTCGCGCATTGAATCAATGCTATATTGGTCTCTAATAAGTGAAGCATCAGCTTCAGCGTTGCCCATGCGACGCACTGCTGCTCAGCTGAGCC